GGCAAATTTTCACTTCATCTTCCATTACTTTGAGCTCATCCTTAAATCTACTTATTCACAAATTAAGGAACAGTTGTTTGGCCTCTGAATTCCTTTCTAACTCTAAAGTGCTGAGCTCTTTGTGCTCATAGACATGAACACACAGTTCATAAACATGAACACAGGTCAAAGGTCGTTGATATTTAATTGAATAGAAATAGAGAATGCTTTCAGAACTGGGCTGCTTACTATATCTGTCCACTGTAATGAAAATGAATATAACCAAAATATTCAGTCTCCAAATGACAAGTCTTTTCTAACCCTGCAACAAAGTCAAGTTCTTTAAATGTTTCCAAAAAGAAAAGGTAAAGTTTAATTCACCTCTCAGAAGGCAGAGTGGTCATAGATGACAAGGTAGCAAACAACTTGCTTCTCTGTTTCCAAGAGTAAGTCCTAACAAGCAGAAGAGCTGTTGAACCAATTGACTCCACATAGAAAGATAAAGAATTCACAGTGTTCTAAAGGATCCTGGGGACACTTTTCAAGGCACTCAACAAATACCATTGGCCCCAAACCACTTTATTCTTTGAAAGATAACTTTTAAAATCTTACTTGATTCTTCTCAGTTTCAGTTTGTATTAGCTTATTTTTTATTGCCCCCTCATGCTCATCTGCTTTAGCTTCTTGTTTCTTTAGTGCCTAGAATGAAAGAGGTGGGAAAAAAAAATTATTCCAAAATATGTACAAAACTGAAAGTCACTACTAGAATTTATTATGTATTAGGGCTGAGGAAGACATGGATATAAGTTACACAAAATCTATAAATTACAACCTGCTCATTCACTGTAACCCTAAGAACACTTCAGTGGGAACAAAATATAAACAATAAGCAATTCCTGATCATCCTAATTAATATTCACTTAATTTCCTTTTTTTCCCCATCTTTGGGAATTTTATTACATTATTTAGAGGGCCTAGATAGCTAACAGTTTTCTTGGAAACAAATATTCTTTTCTACAGTTTCCCCTCTTTAATAAAATGAGGAAAAAGAACTTTAAGAAAATACACATTTCAAAAGTTAACTATAAAAGTGTTTGGTTTGTTTCTACGTTAAAACAAAATTAAACTTATAGGGGAAAATTATACTTGGAACTCTTTCATAATATCTGAAATGCATTCCATTCGCTTAAAAAATATTTTTAACAATTTTAGTGTTTAGACTTAGCAAGGTGTATGTGTAAAGTCCATACGACTTGTGAAAAGCCAAGCTGCCAGAAGCTTTTCCAACAAGATCAACAGAAAACCAATTATTAGGCAAACAGCAAAATATGTTAAAAAGTGCTTTGATGCAAGTATACTCAATCAATTTCAGCTCCCTCTGCCATAATTCCTACTCTCAAATAGAAATTGAGTAATGAGGCAGAGAAGCATCAACAAAATGAAAAATAATTTTGATTTGAGAATAACAATATTATCACACTTTTACAGTGTTTAGTATGTCCAGGCATTCTTCTTCTCCTTACATATAATAAATAAATATATTACATATATTCAAAATATACATTTACTCCTCATGATGATTCTATGAATTATTATTATTCCAAGCCCATTTTATTAAAGGGGAAACTGGAGCACAAGGAGTTGAATCATTTGCCTAATGTCACTCACCTACCTAGTGACAGAGACAGGACACAGATTATGGCTGCCTGCCTCTTAACAACTGAGTATACTGCTTCTTCATATTGATATAATAATACCAAACTTAAAGGGTAATGATGAAAACTCAATGGTTTGATATCTGTAGAGCACATAAAGCAATGTCTGGCTCCCAGCAAATGTGCAATAAAATGCAACTATTATTATTGGTAACAATAATAGACTGGGTAACAGAGTGAGATCCTCAAAAAAAATTAAATAAAAAAAATCAAAACTTCTATATTGAAGTTGGTTGAATAAAAGAAACTAATTCTCTTGGATACTTAGAAATTTGCTAAAATAATATTGTGCTACTCCTTTCTTCCTTGCTTTCCCCTTACAACATCTAATAAGTTATTTATCATATTGATTTTCCAAAATAATGTACTTTTCTATTATAGCTCTACTTGCTGCCTAAAACTGTATTTAATAGTCTCCTTTTTTCAATTTCTCCTTTTATTCTAAGTATATATAAGTCTTAAAAAAAATTTTTGTGAATGATAACTTAAATTCTATTGTTTTCAATAAGGAGCAAAAGTGAGATACTAAGGAACAATCCAAAGCAAATTACTACATTTCCACTATATCATCTAGAAATGCCATTAAGTTTGAACACTAGCTCTGCTTTCTATATACCATGAGTCAGTAAACAAGTAAACACAAATGCAATACTCTAGCCTAGAATACTGAATCGGTTTTTCTACATTATTTAGTTTAAAACGAAAGACAAGGAAAAGCTAACACTTAAGGCCCATTAAATATATGTTGATGCACCTGTAAACACTGAAAACACAAACAATACTCAAAGAGAGACATTTTTAAATTAACCAAATCAAAATTACAAGCCATTTCTTTAAACCTTAATAATAAACGTTAACTAATTTACTACCTTTTTTTAAGGGTGTAAGCCTGCATTGGATTTCTTTTCCATTTGACTTAAAACAAGCAACTTAGAATTATATTAAAACTGACCCAGTAAAAGCAGTTATAAAAGAAGAAAAAAAATTCACATGTCAATGAATTTCAATAATTACGTTATTTTGTTCTTGAAAGCTTGTTTGCTTCCTAAGAGCAGTTTAGCTAAAAGCTATCATGTGCCCTGCTCCAGGATTTAGATTGTCTTTTACATGTTCGAGATCACAGCAACAACACTGAGCCTTAATAGAGGGTCCCCGGGGCACATTTAAATCTTTAATAACAACAATTTTTCTTCTTTCCCTTAAGTGTGTCGTATCGTGTATTGTACTACTGCATTTCCTTAGAAGTAGGCGATTCTAAACTCTCATAGTTATATATAGTTTAAAAAAAAATGTAGCTTTTCCTTTCAGAGAGTAGTAAAAAGGGGAAAAGAAAAATGTTTGTAGACCTCTCACTTAACCATAAAAATCTCTACCACATTGACAACAAGCATGTTTATCAAGAGGCTCTAACAGACAACACACTCCAAGATGTAGAACAAATAGGGAATTAAAGGCCCTTTGTCTGCTTTAAATGGACCAGCAAGCTTGGTTAAGAATGATGGCATGGGAATGAAATAAAAATCACATGTTAATTCCCACACAGGCCAATGAAATTTCCGGAGAAAAATTATAAACATAACCTATCCCAACTTATCCTAATCACTCAGCAGTGCTACAATTGCACGCCTTTGGTCACAAGGGCAAGAACTTGTAGATCATTTACTGGTAAACTAACAACACTACAGAAAAACAAGTACGTGCTCATATTAAACAGTCAACATCATTTACTTGAAGGTACAAATTATCAAATCAGATTTTTTTCCAGTAACAATAAAAAATGAAGAAGTTATATCACTAAACACTAGAAAATCATTGTTCTTACTATATTTTGTAATTAAACTCTTCACATGGGTAGAAAATAAAAGCCAGTGGACAAATATTTTAACTTAACAGAATATAATGTGATTCCAAACCAAATTAGACCACATGAGCTATAAACTGAAGTTATATGTTGTTTATATTTATGTATATTAAAATTTTGAGGTAACATTAAGGACACTTTCAATCGAGCAAAAACTCCATTAACTCTAGTACTGAGTATGTATAAAACACTATCATGGACACTTTATTTAATTAAAATTTTTTTTAAGATGGAAATCTGATGTCTATCTCAAAAATTCTTTTTGGATTTTGCCTAAACACAGGTCCAAAGGCATCAAACATTAATAAAATAATACATATATTTAAAAGGACTCTATATGCATAATACAGCAGGATTTTATTGCTCAGAACATGTACTACTCATTTATATTAACACATACTTTTTTTGTCATGTTCTTTGAATTTCTAAATTATGCTTTTCCCAAATCAAGTTAGAGATTCCTCCCCCATGAGAACTAGCTAAAGTAATGGAAAATTTTAGCCTTTAAGTTCATCCAGTTGGGGATTATCTGTGCCAACAAAAACCAAAACAAAAAAAATTAAGTTTCTTTTCAAGGCAAAAAAAAAAAAAAAAAAAAACAATGCATTCATATTCTAAATCCCTGAACCAATATCTAATTTAAAAATAGCTAAGTGGATATTACTTAAATTGTTCAAAGAAATTTATTTTTCAGCCATGACCAAGGAAAGGAAATTCTACAACAACTACAACTGAAAAAATAAAAAATATAACAAACCACACACACCACACACTTTGGTAGGTGAAAAGTAGAAATGCTTGATAGAAGTCCAAAAGGAATTCAATACTGATATTATTATGATACCACACAAACTTAAGGGATATCAAAGTAAGAGAGAAATTCAAAAATCTTGGTACGAATTGAACTGTGTGTATTTTCCAGATGGAAATGGTAAGCACATAAGTCACAAAACACAACAATTCCTCTTTTTCAAAGGGTAATATCCAATATCATGTAGTTAAGTAGGATCGATCATAAGTTAAATACTATTTCTAATAGTAATAGTAATCCTTAATAACATTCCTTAAAGATACCTGTGGTATTTAAACATAAAGCTCAAGGTTTTATTTTAAGAATGGCCTAGATTTTTTTTTTTATTTTTCTCTTCTAATAAGATGTTTATTATTTCAAGAATCCCAAAAATACACAAGGGCTCTTATAGGAATTATCTTGGTGGAAGAGATGGATGCTTTTTACTGACCTATTTTCCCCAGTGAACAAACAAACGTCTTGGTTCCACTATGCCCATACCTACGGAATCTACCACTGTTTAGGGCACCCAGTGTCAACGAACCCAAACAAGATCAAGGGTTCAGTCACGAATTCCCTTTGCTCTGTTTCGTGGACACAATCTTTACCCTAAACCTAGGCAAGGGCCTCACAGAAGGCTAACTAGACCAGAGATTATGAATGAATCTGCAAAAATTCAATACCATGACTACAATAATAACTCAAAGATAAAACCCCTGTTGACTAGTGTCAGGATTTCATTCTTCAAATGTTGTAAACTTGCCAATCTGCAAAACAAAACCTTAATTACTTCATAAAAAAGCCAGTATGCTAAAAAGACATACAAGTCTTTTAACTTCTTTAATTCAAAAGCAACAATGGTAATGAGTATTATTCCCCAACATGCCATTGCTTTTACTGGAACAGATTATATTTTTATGCAATCTTTAACTTCATAAAAATCTTGCAAGTAAAGTTAAATGTGAGCCCAACAAGTGCACTTTTTCCAGGATTTCCTTCAAAATCAAAAAACAAATGCTCCTAGTAGAAGGTCTGTTTTTATCTGAGTAGTTTGCTCTCAAAAAGAGATGCATAGTTTTATTAGAAATCCACAGTAATATAATACTTCATTTGACTTTCTAAATGCAGGACCACTGAGTTAGGATTGTTGACAAATAGAAGATCATAGATAATTATGGAAATTTAATTTAGAATTTCTCAGGTTGTATATCTTTGAACAGAAAGCTCTGTAAATATACAACATCTTTCAGTGTCCAGAGTTAGAGGATGTTATTTTATGCCTTTGGATTTAGGAGGATTTTTTTGTTTTTCACTATTTTCTAATAAAAATAAA